ATTTCGTTGGGACCCCACCGCAGCCCGATAGTTTCGGCAGTGAAAAAGGCAGGGCATACCTGAACAGGAAATCGCCCTGGGGTGTTTCGGAAAAAGGCAAGTCCGGGGGGGGCTGTGGTCCGTGGCCTGCTTGCGCAGCCAATGAAGTGTTGACAAAACGCCACGACGTCCCCGATTCTGGAAACTGTTTGACATGCCCCCCCCCTTACTCGTCTGGAGGCGTCCTTGGAAACGGTCTGGAAACTCGTCGGCATTGCATTTCCAGACCGCGAGCCGAGTAGAAACGCCCCGTCAGCTTTTCCACAACCTCTTTCCAACCGCAGTGGGGTCTGAAATTCCTTTCCGGGCCGACTTTCCACGACGGTTTCCAACACCTGTGGGGTCTGAAAAACACTTCCTCGCCAAAACTTTTCCACGCCGCCGGCCAGTGGGGTCCAAGCCTAAGCCACCCAGTTCGATTCCCAGCTGTTTTTTTTTGTTTTGTTTTTTTTTTCCCCTCCGGTGTAGCAGTTAATATGCGGCGTGCGGTGGTGCCAGGCAAAAGGACATGGTTTTGTGACCCCAGGGCCGAGGTCCCACTAGCAAAGAGGATAGGATCAAGCTCCTGAATCTGGATGTGTTTTATGCAGAGGTGCAGAAAAGCAGTTCAATCTCGATTTCTGGCACCTGTCCACAATCACATCCAGATTCAGGCATTCGCTCCAATCCTCTTTTCTAGTGGGACCACGCCCCTGCAGTGTTGTTGATGTTGTTGTTGTTTCTGCGGGAGTCACAAAAATGAGTTATGATTGCACTATGAACCAAACAAGATACAGTTTCAAATTGCAGTTCCGAGTTCGGGCAATGTATACAACCCAGCTTTCTGGCCAGGTGTAGGGTGCCCAAAGTCCAATTGCAAAATGTATCTTGCCCCGTAGTACTACCCATAGTGCAATTATAACTCGTTTTTGTGACTCCACTAAAGTTTCCCCCCTTTTTTTTTCTTTTTTTTTTCACAACGCTGCAGTGTTCTCTAAATACGCAGCCATTTGTGACTTCACTAAAGTGACAACGCTGCAGTGTTCTCTGAATACCCAGCCATTTGTGCTATATAGGGTTTGTGCCAGTTCTGTTTGTAATAAGCCCCACCAGCTTGCACTAAGTTTGCCTGCTAAATGACATGTATACGGATTGTGAACTGATAACAGCGACTTGGTTTGTCAAAAGGGACATTTTATATTTTCTGAAACGAAAAATTGAAACCTACTTATTTCAAGTTATTTGGCCATTAAAAATGGTACCGTTTTAGCTAGCTCCTGAGGGTCCGTCTGGACCTAGCTGAAGTGCACATACCCCCCAAGAGGGGGGTACCGTAACGGTGTAACTTTTCAGATGGTGACATTTCTTACTAGGGCCAAAATAGGTACTAGGTTGCAATTTTTGTTCAAAAGGGTCTTAGGAGTACCGAGGGGGGTGGGGGGGGGGGGGGGGGGGGGGGGGGGGGGAGGAGGGGTAAAGTTGTCTACTTCAGGAAACATTAGTATTGAGAATCTTTAAAAAAGAACAAAGGAAAAGAAAAAAAGACGTAACGTCCCCTCAGTGCTGTCAGCAGTCCGCCTCTCAAAGCAGGCAGAGGAGGAGACGTGGTTGGAAAAAAAAAAAAAAAAAAAGGAAGAGACATGATAGCAGTTCTGCACCCGATGCAGTCAGATACCTCCATGTCTGGCCCTCCTTGCATCTGACTGCAATTGCGGCCAAATCTGGACGAATCTGACTGCAATTGCGTCAAATCTGGACGAATCTGACTGCAATTGCGGCCAAATCTGGACGAATCTGACTACAATCACGTTCAGAGCTCTGTGAGAAATGTCCCAGAGCCTTGCTCCACTACTCACCACGTGCTCAAAAGACAAAACGAACGGCTGTGTATCTTTCCATGTTCCAGAGGAAGATTCGTTCTCATCTCGCACATTTGGTGAGTGATGGGGCGAGGACCCTAGTGTGAGCAGGCCCTCAGCTACGGGCAAATGACGAAAAAGCAACGAAAAAGAAAAAGAAAAGAAAAGACTCGGTAGCTCGGGCGTTTTCTAGAAAGGTCTGGACACGATTGCTGTCAGATTCGTCCAGATCTGAGATCCAGCTACGCACAGACCTGGGGCAAGGTCCCACTTGCACGGATTAGGAGATTGCGGCCGTTGATCTTCGCTATCGACGGTCGATATGGCATAATTCGTGCAAGTGGGACCTAGCCCCTGGATGAATGTGAGCACAAGCACGTCCAGAAATAGAATACGCCGGGCAAGTTCGTGAGAGGCGGGCTCGGAGGGGACGCTATGCCCCCAATTGTTTCCTTTGCCTGGCAAGTGCCCGGCAAGTGCCAGGTCACACATCTTTGTTTTTATTTCTTTTCTCAGAACTTCCCCGTTCTTGTTTTTTTTTTTTTTTTTTTTTTTCCCTCCCCTTTTCGAGGGCCTTTTGCTCTCTTGTCTTTTCGATCTTGCAACCGGTGCATGTGGAAACACATTTCAACATGCACGAAATGAACCAGCCCTCATTACTTGCAGTGCAACAGCCCTTTTATGTTGGGCCCACCATCGCTCTCCCCCAGCCCGCTACGGGGCCTTCCCCGACCGCCGAAGAATGTGGCTGTTAAACCACCAGTACTTGGGCGACGCCTTAGCGCTAACGCTACGCAATTTCCGCGGCCGGCGGGCCGGCGATAAATCGAATCGACAGCCCGCCCTGCTTTGAGATTTGGGCAGCCGGCGCGGCGCGCAGTGCCCAAGTACTGGTGGTTTAACGAGGAGGATAGGAAAGGTGGAATGGAATGGGGAAGAAAGGGGACGAGGGAGGATGAAGGGCAACAAGGTGACAGCCGGAGACTAACGAGTCATCTTCCACGACTGGACCGAGCTAGATGGCTCAATCCCAATGCGACCATGTGACGAATTCCCGGACTTCTTCCCCCCAACCACCACCAACCGCCTACCATCTTCCCCGGAACACAACACACCCTCATTGTGGCTGTATCTGGCCGGAAGTATAACTCGTATACATTCATTTTTAGGGTGCATTATGTTCGGGGGAAGACAGTAGTGGGAATATAATGCTATGGGGGAGAGAGATGGAAAGGAAGGGACAAGGAATAGAGAGGACAGACGCCCACCCGGGGAAGCTAATCTGGGACAGGAAGACTGACATACATGAGGGGAAGGCCAAAGCGGATGAGGAAAGGTTTAGTGTTTAAGGGACAGAAGAATGCTCAGACTGTGCTCAGACTGTATGTAAGACAGAATGGAAGGCAGACAGCAGATGGTAGCTAGACTGCTAATGAACACAGATAAAATCAGGTGGCCCCAACAAGGGCTGAAGAGGCAGGCCTAGCCTACCAACACATACATCAACACCCGCACAGTCAAGCCCCGAGAAACCAGGGGATTGCTCTGATAGTAACCCCGAGTCAATCACCCGCACAGTCAATCCCCGGGAAATCAATGCTCTGGTAATAACAGTATAATGATCTAGATAATAAGCTTGCTCGGATTGTAAAAGGGATGCTCGACCCGTTTTCCAGCAGGTGCAGCTCCCCACCAATGGACGGAGTAGCTGGTGGCTACTACTAGTGGGGCCTGCTCATATCACCCTTTCTGGTAGACAGACAGGGATTTGTTAAAAAAAAAAAAAAAAAAAAAAGGAATCTGTTTGCAAGCGGGGAAAGATACTTGTGGTTTGATCAGAGGAGGTAATACACCACTTGGGTTTTGCGGAGGGGATGCCAATGATATTCCTTTTTTTTTTTTAAACGGGCCCAGTGCCCAAGGCTGATATTACCAATAATAAGATTGAGGCCGGGGTCCTCACAGTCTGCCCGGAATGAACATACGGAAACCGCTAATGATGACCATGATGATACTAATGACACTGATAATACCCTAGATAATGATACTAATCCTTTCTCCCTCCGAAGTAGCGGTCCTTCCCCCTTCACCCTGCCCCCCTTCCCCCACCCCCTCATCGCCCCACCACACCCCGCACCGCCCAACCAAGCAGCGGTGCGGTACTTCCTGCAATGACGTTTTAGGGGAGATGGGAAAATGAGCCATGGCAAGAATCTGCTGCCAAGAATGGATTAAGTACTTGTTGAAAGCACACATGGGGCCTGGTTCTGAGCATGAACCTGGCCATGTCCTCGGCTAGGGTCATGCCTTCTGAGAATGAACATAGCACCAATGGGGCCTGCAGTGGTCCTAAAACAGAAAAGCTGGTTAAGGAATGCGAGTTGTGGAGGTAAATCCTAGGGTTGTTCGTCTCACACAGTCCAGTGAGGCATCATTAAGGGAACAGAGAAAATATAAGCTGCAGATCTGAAGAAAAATGAGCAGGTGTATACATCCCCCTTTACTTTGCCTCCGTTCGTAGCATGGCCAGCCTTGTACATGAGAGGCACAGTGAAAGGGAGCTGCAAGATAGATAAAAGAGGTACCCCAAAGAAAGCCAAAGTAAGCGTACTTAAGAAGAGCATATAATGGATCTATTGTGCCCGATGTTGCTCATCTCAAGTGTGCTTCAGTGTCTGCAATAGAGGTAAACCTGCCTTGATTTTGGATCCTCTCATCTAGGTGGAACAAGGGCTGTTGGGGTGACAATCTAAAACACACACACCCGCACACACCCACACACCCACACACCCACACACCGATGGCAGGATCATAACTTTCCGTTTCTATATAATGTTCTTTATCCAGAATATCCATACTGAACAGCTATCCATTTAGCCTGTTTCTAATCCTTCTCTTTTCTTGCATGTGTGTGAGCGTGTGTCGGGTGTGTGTCTGTGGGTGTGTGGCGGTGTGGGTGTGTGTACGTGTGTGTGTGTGTGTGTGTGTGGGTGTCACTGTGTTGGTGTGGGTGTGTGTATATGCATGTGGCCCGATGTGGGTGTGGGTGTGACCACGAGTGTACGCGTGTGTCTGTGTGAATGTCATTGCATGCATGCTGTTACGGGTGTTTGTGGATCTCAGGAATCATGGCGTCTTCAAGTCCTTTCGTTCGCCGCAACGGCAACCAGTTCGAGCTGAACGGTGAGCGGTACTTAGTCCATGGCTGGAACACGTACTGGCTGATGACGAAAGCCAAGGGGCAGCTGCAGGAGGTGGAGCAGGTCATGGCAGATGGAAAGAGTATGGGGCTCAATGTTTGCCGGACATGGGGTTTTTTTGACGGACCGAATGGACTGCAGAAATCTCCAGGGGTTTTTGACGAGACAATGTTTCAGGCAAGGTCCTCCCCCCCTTCCCCCACCTCCCCCCCAATTCATTCGGCAAGTTATTTTCTGTATTGGTCGTCTCTCAGAGTGTCATATTTTTTTGTTTTTCTAAACAGAAAATGCGCAACAGCTTTGAGGTATTATCGTCCAACCGAGCAGCATCCCCCCCCTTCCCCCCCGGGTCATTTTCACAGGTATGTAATGACCCTCCAAAACACAGACTGAGAACACTGCTGATTTCTGGGATTTGCCGCTGGAATGTATGCCTTGTTGAGATTCCCGCATTCTGCTGTGATTTCTAAGTCTGTGTGTGTGTGTGCCTGCTGGTCTGCGTGCCTACCTGAGTGCTTGTCGGCCTGAGTGTGTGTGTGACCCGCAAGGGTACTTGTTGGTTGGGATGCCCCGCAGGGCAGCAGAATGTGAAAGATTACCATTTGATTTGCCASAAGCTGAAGAAGAATTAGTAGCAGGTTATCAGACCGAATATTCTGGTATAAAATTTGGAATCTTTTATGTTGCTTCATACTTAAACTTATTAGTCTCATCTTTATTTGCTGTAGTGCTCTATTTAGCGGGGAAAAACACTCAAGTAGCAGGTAGGCCGGTACCACTCAAGTAGTGGTAGAAGTAATTCCTTGAGGCCCAGCAGAAGAAGACAAAAAGTTGGCGTTTTTAGAGGCCCAGTAGCGGTAGGCTAGAGGTAGGCCAGTACCAGTCCGACTAGCCTGAGTCTAGGGCCTGAACGGGAAAGAGAGAGAAGTCTCTCCGAAGCCAGATCGAACAGCATGTGGTGGAAATTGAAACATGATGATAAGAGCAAGTCAGCATAACGTCTGACGGACACGCAAAACACACTCGAGATATCTTCACATACTTCGCCGTGCTGCTCACGGTTTTGTGTTTTGCGTGTTGGTCTCACGTTATGCTGCCTTGATGTTATGATCATCGTGCGCTCTACGTCAAATCACTGTCTTCAGCTCTTATTAAAAAAAGAAAAAAAAAAGAAGTGCCGAGTTTACTATCTATGATCTATCGGACAGCTGATCTGTGGGTCTGTTTTTTTTTTTTTTTTTTTTGAGAGGCCTGATGTACCCCGGCTCAGATATTAAACTGATCAGAAAACAGGTAGTGCACTTGCGCTTACCCAAAGGGCCGAGAAAGGTACATGCACCTCGAATCATGTGGATGCTACCAGTGTACAATGGGAGCTAGCTGGGGCAACCAGCAATGGCCGGCATTGATTAGCCAAATCCAATGTGGGTAATTAATACTAATTATGCTGAGCAGTATCTCTCCTCTCTCTCTATTCCACCCTCCACCCCCCCCCCCGCTCTCTTCTTCCTCCTCTTCAAGGGGTACAAATGGCAAAATGCCAAAGGTCAAGCAGTACAATTGCAAAATGCCAAACAGTCTTCGGATACCACTAACACCTACATGGAGGGTACCACTGGGATCTGGACCCAAAGTCAGGCCCAGACCTGATACATAAAAAAGAAACTAGAATGTTAACACCATAGGACTAGTTTATGTATCAAGTCCCAAAGTGCAGTTATGTGTCTGGACTCTGGACCCAAAGTCAGGTCCTGACCAGATACATAAACCGGAATGCTGAGTCGTTGCAGCCATGATGCATCTGAGTAGATCAACCGTAGGGCCAGCAGTGCCTTTTTTCTTTTGTTGTCCCCTTCCTTAAGACCGGCTTTGGAATTGCCAACGGATCTCTCTCTCTCTCTCTCTCTCTCTCTCTCTCTCTCTCTCTCTCTCTCTCTCTCTCTCTCTCTCTCTCTCTCTCTCTCNTCTCTCTCGCGCGCGCGCGCGCGCGCGCGCGGTTGCGGAACTTCAAGTTGTGGTCCAGGTGTTCTGAACATCATGTGTTTTTGTCTGTGTGTTTGTCTGGTTGTGGGTCGGGGGGGGTGTTTGGAGGGGGGGACGGGGAGAGGGGGAGAGAGGGGGAGGGGGAGGGAGGAGAAGGGGGTTGGATGTTTATTTCTTGTGTGCGATCTTCAGGGTCTGGATCTGGCCGTGGCGACAGCCAAGAAGTATGGCATCAAGTTGATTCCGGCCCTTTGCAACAACTGGGGCTCTTATGGAGGGAAGGAGCAGTATGTGTCGTGGAGCACGGGTTCAAAACAGCCTGGTGACGCCTTTTATACTGACGCCAAATGCAAAGAGTATTACAAGAATTACGTCAAGGTAACAAACTGAGGACCACCACTCTTTTTTTCTTTTTTCTTTTTTTCTTTTCTTTTAAATGCTCCAATCTAAATTCGTGGGGAGAAGCACGTGCTGGGAACCGGGGCCAACATCCCTGAGGACCACCAATCGGGTTTTCCTTTTTTCTTTTTTTTTTTTGTCTGTAAGAAAAAAAATACAAGTGGCTTACTTTACTCACACTGGCTCTTTTTTCTTTTTCTTTTTCCACTAACTTCTGTAATCGAGGTCAGATACATTCAGGAAAAGATTCCCGAAAAATGCATGGAATAGTAAAAGAAATTGAAGAATTACTTTAACGTAAATAAAAAAATGCATCGAGCCACACTTTCGTCACCTTGAGCACACACACACACATTGAGGGATCACAGGAAATCCACACTGGAGACCAGAGATGCAAAGTCCAGATTAGCGCAGCTAAAAAATTACAACGAATTGTCCTTTGGAACATCCGTTAAAATTGGAACGATACAGAGAGCCTAGACAAGATTAGCATGGCCCCTGCACAAGGATGACACGCATAAATTGAGAAATGGTCCAAAAATAAAAAATAAAAAAAATTACAACGATTTATCATATTATTATTATATTAAGCAGATTTTCAGAGTTCCCGTCACCAGCGCTCATCAGTGCAGAATTCAGCAACCCAATCCCAGTGTCCTCATCCAGGCAGATGACTCCCTCACTCCCTCTGTCTCAGTTCTCTCCGTCTTCTTCATGCATGCGCTGTCTCTGTCTCTCCCTCTCTCTCTACTTGAAGATCTTGACTCTGGATGCATCCGCTACTACTCAGCACTAACTCCTACTACCACTGTATCCGCTACTTGAAGATCTTGTCTCTGTCTCAGTTCTCTCCGTCTTCTTCATGCATGCGCTGTGTCTGTCTGTCTCTCTCTCTCTACTTGAAGATCTCGACTCTGGATGCATCCGCTACTACTTAGCACTAACTCCTACTACTACTGTACGGCTATGCCCGCTGTCCTTCCGCAGCGCAACGCTGCCCAGCCAGGGAGGGCTCCAGCGCTACAGTCTTCCCCCGAACAAAATGCACGTATGTACTATTCGACTTTCCCTGGAAACGTCCATTTCTCAAAGTCGCCCACGGAAATCCAAATAGTATGCACGTATGTTCTATTCGAATAGTATGCACGTGTGATGGGTGTTCTATTCAAATAGAACACACGGATGGCCTCTCTCTCTCTCTCTCTCTCTCTCTCTCTCTCTCTCTCTCTCTCTCTCTCTCTCTCTCTCTCTCTCTCTCTCTC